GTTTCTGTGACGCCACAGCCTTTGTGTTGTTTTTTTTTTCGTTCTTGTTTGTCACCTTATTTTAATTTTCTTTAATTGAGGCACTTGGTTGGGTTCAAATTGGAACTGTAATAATAACTGAAATAAGTATACAAATTACAAATTATAAATTTAAAACCCCAATAGCTTACTATTTTGAGAAAAACATCTTGGTCGCCGCACGCGGGAATCGAACCGCTAACCGCTCGCCTCCCAGTTTGCCGTCAAGCACTCTACTAGCTGCGCCACGGAAGCATCATGTGGGGCGCTGTACAAAGTCTATTCACATTTTGTTCTCCTATTTTTACTCAAATTGATCTGGCTCTCTTCTGGTTATTCATTTTAGTTGTTCATTTAATTTTTCTTTTAAATATTTATTGATTAATATTAATATTTATATATTTATTATGGTTCAATAGTAACATTAATTGAATGTTTCAAACAAACTTAAACATCATTTTTATCAAAATATAATTATTCATGAGCTAAAAAAAATGCAATTCATTTTTTTTTATTAATATGTAAATATTAGTGTTAAATAAAAAAACAAAAAGACACCATGAGATTTTCGTCTCGACGTGGGATTGAACTCACACTTGCAGCAGCAAGCTACCAATCCCGGAAAAATTCTTCGATTAATAGAGATTTTTTTCTTAGGCTAAAAAAATTTTTTATAAAAAGTGGATAAGAAGGGAAATTGATCAAATACGGTTAAGTTTTTTATTTTCAAAAAAAATATTTCTTAATATTACACATTTTTTTCTAAATGTTAGAAAAATCTTCAAACATTTTTTCTGTTTTTAGAAAAACAATATTTCTTTTTTATAGAAATATTTATAATTTTAAAGGCAATTTTTTTTGTTTTTAGAAAAGTTTAGTATTTTTTTTTTCTAAGATCAATGGCGATTTTAATTTTCAAATAAAAAAAAGGAAGATTAGAAAAAAACCTTATAATTTAGAAAAAAATTGATTTTTCTGTATTTGAGAAAAAATTTTCTAAAAAAACTCGTACAATAGAGAATTTTTTTGAAGATTTGAAAATTTTTCTGAAGATTAGAAAATTTTTCCTCTTTATAGAATATTTTTTTAAAGCACAGAAAAAAATTTTTTTTCTATATTTAAGAAAAAATAATTTATTGAGTGTAAAGATTAAGAGAAGAAACCATCACTACACTGAAAAAAAAGTTGAAATGGCTCCAAGGAAAGCCATTTTCTGTGAAACTTCGTCAGTTGATTGGAAAACTCAATTTCGAACTAAAAACTGTACGGAAATTCACTGGATTGGTCGAAAAAGTCAAGTCTATTGTCCAGGACAATATTATGAGGTTCTAAGTTACATTTTAATTTGACAATAGAGGCCAAAACAAGATGTTAATGACGGCATAATTCCAAAGTACCTTAAGATTTTAAAGGATAAAAAATATTAAAAAAAATAGTTTTTAATGTTTTTTTCGTTGGTCTAAAAGTGCATTAAACAACCGACAATATGATGTATCGTTTATAAAAATCGGTTCACAACTTACCTAAAAAATGAGCCAAACTAAAACCAAACGGATAACTGTTTGGTCAAAAAGCACGATTTCCATACAAATTTCAATACAAACGAAGCTTTCAGCTTAACAAGAATGTTTTCGAACCCATCTTTTAGGTAAGTTGTAAAAATTAAAAAAAGAATCGGTTTTTTTTGCAAGACCCTACCCCCAAAAAGCCGAAGAATATGTGTAGGGAAATCTCCACCTTTTAGCTTTTGTACACTCAAAAAAAAATTTTAGAAAATCGCCTATGGATTTGCTTTACTGGCGATTTTTTTCTATATTTCTGGAATATTTCTTGAATTTAATGAATTTTGATTAATTGGAAGAAAATTTTCTTTACCAGTAGAAAATTTTTTTATTTTAAAGAAAAAAATCGCCAGTGAAGCAAATCCATAGGCGATTTTCTAAAATTCAGGGCGATTCATTTTCTGAGTGTAGTTTCCGAGATCTCAGCGTTCATACGGACAGACAGACGGTCAGGCAGACGGACATGGCTAGATTGACTCGGCTAGTGACCCTGATCAAGAATATATATACTTTATGGGGTCAGAAAGGCTTTTTTCTATCTGTTACATACTTTTGCACACTTTTTATACCCTTTTACTCTTCGAGTAACGGGTATATATTGAAAATAGAATCGATTTTTTTTTTGCAAGACCCTACCTTTTAAAGAATTTCAAATTAAACTTAATAATAATTAAACGCGAATATTATAAAGCTGCTGAAACAACCATTTTTGTAATTATTGTTAATTTTTATTTTAACAGTAATTTTAAATAATATACATATTACAGTGGCTCACAGCTTATTTCGTGCAGAGGTAAACTTAAAATTCAAACTCGTATAGCTAACAAACTATACGATAATTTACCAAAATTTAAATGCAGTTATGTTAGGTAGTATTCTGGCCCTTATTAACCCACTTTTCTATTTTAAGATTCCATAGAATAACACTTATAATTAAAAAAAACTAAAATCATTGACTTTTTTAATGTCACAGCTTATTTCGTGCAAAACTTTAAAATTATTATTATTTGTAAATTAAGGCTAAAAATGTGTTTTTTTTATTTCTACATTGAAGCGCCTATTATTAACAATTTTTTTTTAAATTTTAATTATGTCAAATACACTAAAAAAAAGGTACATGCAAAATAAATAAAATAATCAATTAAAATGTTTAAATGTATATTTTCGTATTAAAAATGTCGAAAAATGTATCCCAAATTTGCAGAATTTATTGAGCAAGGACCCAGTTCTCAACTGTCCATGATCGAACGCTTCTTACGAAGGAATTAAGTGGTACCAATAGGCCCAAAATGCATCCTGTACAATAGTATCTGAACTGGAACAGACTTAAAATTATTAAAAATGTATAGTAAATTTAACAGTACGGGCTTCAAAGTTGGCTGTAATTGTTCGCAACGAAATGGTCTAATAATGCTTAGAACCAAATTTCCGCCTCTTACAGCGAGATCACAACATTATTGGCCAATCAAGCCGAAGTAATGTATTTATTACCTTCAAGTATATGCTCAGCAGATGAAAAATAGCCAGGAAGCTCGATATTCGTCAAATTTTCATCTGGAATGATTTTATATTTGCTTTTAAGCCCTCACTGACTAAATATTGGTTTACTTGTATGCACCATGTATGATCCTGACGGAGTTCCGAGGACCTCACAAACGCTGAAAATCTACGCTTAAGCAAAGTGGCGGGTTGTGATAGGGTTTGGGCATGTCAGATGTTTTTAGGGACTTCAAATTAAGTTTTTTTTTAAGAAATAGCTTCTAGAAACATGTACCTTTGACATTAGCCAACTTTGAAGCCCGTACTGTTAAATTTACTATACATTTTTAATAATTTTAAGTCTGTTCCGGTTCAGATCCTATTGTACAGGATGCATTTTGGGCCTATTGGTACCACTTAATTCCTTCGTAAGAAGCGTTCGATCATGGACAGTTGAGAACTGGGTCCTTGCTCAATAAATTCTGCAAATTTGGGATACATTTTTCGACATTTTTAATACGAAAATATACATTTAAACATTTTAATTGACTATTTTATTTTTTTTGCATGTAACTTTTTTTTAGTGTATTTGACATATTTAAAATTCCAAAAAAAAAATGTTAATAATAGGCGCTTCAATGAAGAAATTAAAAAAACACATTTTTAGCCTTAATTTACAAATAATAATAATTTTAAAGTTTTGCACGAAATAAGCTGTGACATTAAAAAAGTCAATGATTTTAGTTTTTTTTAATTATAAGTGTTATTCTATGGAATCTTAAAATAGAAAAGTGGGTTAATAAGGGCCAGAATACTACCTAACATAACTGCATTTAAATTTTGGTAAATTATCGTATAGTTTGTTAGCTATACGAGTTTGAATTTTAAGTTTACCTCTGCACGAAATAAGCTGTGAGCCACTGTATATATATTAATTATTATACACTGCGGCTTGACGAAGCTTTCTTGTTGTGCTTGTCGAGGGTCAGTTTCAAATGTCTTCGAGTCACTTTCGTGCCCACTTTCTAAACGTACTCCCGGCTTATTCAATTCTGAAAATTCTGGAGCAACAGTAACCATCCATGTGTCGCCTTAGAATACAAATGTAAGAGCAACAATGCTGTGCTATGAACAATTCTGGCTGTCTTTGTTGTTCTTGCTGCTGCTGGTGTGATAACAGCTAAAATATGAAGCAATTGCCAGAGCAATGGGGTCTCTCTCGGGGGAGGGAAAGAGAGTTCAGAAGCGACGAGAGCCAGCGGGAACTTTTACCACAAAATACGAACGGCCCTGTGACACAGGGATACCATCGTGGTGGGGTGGGGCGGGATGCGAAGACCTCGACGGCGTCTGTCTGACTGAGTGACTAACGAAACCAAAACCACCACACCAGTCCGTAAGCCCAGTGCCCCCCTTTTGGGCCACTCGGTCATGCCGCAAAATATCGATTTACATTTACACCCCCTTTGCCGTCACCGCCTTCCTCGCTCTTATGCGCTGTTGGGTAAGGTTGCAAGAGCGGGATAGCGCAGTGTTTTTCGCTTGACTTTTGCCGTTAGTTACCGTTCTTGTTACTGCTGATGCTGTTGTTGCCTTGGCCGGAGCGGGACTGGGAGGGGTGGTGAGAATCCACGATGACGGCGTCATCTTATAAAAATAAATGGCTGTGCTAACTAAAGAGACGAGGAGAAAGGTACGGCTGCAGAAGAGGTTGGGTTGCTCGGCGGCTCGGCTTACATCATACACTCTAGTATTTTCCTTCAGCGGCGCAAAACAATGGGGCATGAAAAAGCAAAGGCGATGCTTTGTGCCTTATTCGTTCAACAAGGGACGAGTGCTGACAATTGACTTGCAATTTGCATTAAGCCAAAAGGATGGGGATAAACAAGGCTCAGCGGATTAGGCCTGCACCTTGCGGCCCATTTCATAATCACTCTTTACCATTTTCACTTGGTTCTGTTGGTGCTGCTCTTTACGGATTAACGGACCCTTTAATTGCAGTCGGTAGTTAAATTTTAGCGGAGAACAGATACAGGAGAAACCGTTGCCTTGAAAAACATGTAAGAATTAAACCGGACAGTCGAGTTCACTTGGCCAGCTGCATTAATCCATTAGGCCCTTTACCAAAACCTCTATTCGTTAACGTTTTGGAATAATATTAGCAGATCATTTTACAATCGACCGTTTTAGGTTTTTTTCTCCGCCGGACGAGTGCGGACTAGTGTGTGTGGCGAACACCTCACGAGACCGAGACGAGTGCGGACCGAGCTAGCTTGGTTTTCCACCGATGACGTCTAAGCGCGGACTGGTGCAGCGTCGTCGCGTCTGCCGCACAACTTCGCACGGATGGAGCAGACGCCACCGAAACCCACCACAGCCGAACGCTTCGGCCGGAAATGTGAAAGTGCGACGCCTGGAAATTGCTTCGGTGCGACAGCGAGGCAAGTGCGGGTGGGCGACGTGGTCGGCGCCATCTATGGGCTGCTTTTCGAGGCACAGCCCAAGCTGCGTTAGGACCTATTTATTCCTCCTGATAACTTTGCTTTGTTTCCAGAGCGGTGAGCTTTTACCAAGAGACAGCTGCTACACCCAGAAAAAAGATTTTCCTAAAAATGGACTATTTATTGCCTAAACAAGAAAGGAAGTTAACTTTGGCCAGCCGAAGTTTATATACCCTTGCAGTTATGCCTACTTAAAATGTTGTTTTTACATTGTCAAAAATCAAAACGCCTACTTTCTACAAAGTTACAATGGGTTTTCTATTATTTTTTGATTACACTATGCAGCATGAAAAATTTACTTCGATGGATGCTATATTTTTGGGTTCGTTACGAATTCCAAAGTTAAACTACACTCAAAAAAAAAACAGCCCGAAATCGCCATAAAATCAAGAAATTCGCCATGAATTTCAGTCGATGGCGATTTACCGTATTTTTTAGAAAGGAATTTTCTAAAGTTTAGAAAAATATTTCTGCTTTTCAGAAAAATTGCCATAAAATTGAGAAAATTTCCTTAAATCCAGAAAGTACTTTTCTTAAAAATAGAATTTTTTTCTTAAAATAAGAAAGGACTTTTTTATTTTCAGAAAATTTTCTTTATTTTAATAAAATGTATACATATTTATTTTACTATTTTATTTCCTAAACAAGAAAGAGAAAACGAAAATAAAAAGATGAAAAGAAAATTATTAATATTTCCTAAACAAAAAAGGAAAACAAAACAAAAAAGATAAAAATTAGATAATAAATATTTCCTAAAGAAAAAAAGAAAAGAAAACAAAAAAAAGATAAAAATGACATTATAAATATTTCTTAACAAAAAAGAAAACAAAAAAGATAAAATATTATTAATATATTACCTATTATTAAAATTTACTTACTTACTGCCAAATTATCAACAATACCTGAAATTTAAATTATTCCTGCAATCGAAAATAAAAATTAATATTAGAGAAGGATGGTATTTGCGGCCTGCAATAGTATGCCCTTTGCTTACCATAAATTTTCACACACTTACCAAATTTATATTTAAATTTATTTAAATTGCTTACCTATTAATTGCCTCTTAGAGGGATCGCACTTTAACTTTCTTAAATAGGCTCAACACAAACTTATTACTTTGAATACTCATCCAAAACTGAGCACAAGGGTTCAAAATGTAGCGCAACGCAAGCAACTCTCTCGCGAGAGACTGCATTTCCAAAACAACAACGCAATAAAAGTTACAGCTACGCACAAGAAAATTCTCGATCATACGCACAAACACACATAAACATATACATACATACGCCAAAAACTGTCGTCGCAACGCGCCGCCGACTAACCCCCTGTCTTCTTCTTTTTCGTTTCGAAGAAAGAATGAGAAGCATAAAAGAAATACAAAAAGTTTTTCTTAAATCTATGGTGATTTTTTTAATTCTACTTTTCTGTTTTCAAGAAAATTTTTTTTTTAAATCAGAAAAATTCTTAAAATTTAGAAAAATTTACCGTATTTTTTATGGCGACTTTCTAGATTCTAGGAAGGGCTGAAGTACATTTTTTCTTAATTTAATGGCGAAATCGCCATTAATTTAAGAAAACTTTTGGAGAGCAAACTATGAAAAAACACCATTGATTTAAGAAAAAAAATCATTTTTCTAAATTTTAGAAAGGTTTTTCATAAAATTCTGTTTTTATGGTCTTTTTTCCTAGATTCAAGAAAACAATTTCTAAAATTCAGAAAATTTTCTAAAATTAAGAAAAAATTTCATTTTATGGCGATTTTCTAAAATTTAGGAAAACAAATTTTTTGAGTGTACCTTTTCTAAAAAGTTCCCCGACGCAAGGATTCTTAGCAAAAGGACCTCAAAGTTAAAAAAAATACTGAAATTGGCCAACTTTCCGGAGCTCTCAGAGGCAATCGGATACATTGTTTGATTTGATGTTTTTTAAAAGATACACTCTTTCTTTCAAAGGGAGAAACAAGTTTTAGAAAACACAGTCAAAAAACATAAAAGCATACAGCCGCGGTCAAAATAGTAGTAGTGTTGCCGTCCTGTGTTTTTAAAAGTTTTTTGTTGTCACTTATCTTATCCGATTAGGGATAAACTTCCGTTTAGCTCCTACCCCCAATTTTTTTCAAACTTTCCATATTGACGTCTTTTTGGGTCCTGATTACGGGAAAAATATCCAAAGTTGGCGCAAATAACGGGATCTTGAAAAATAACGGTACAAATTGTAAAATTTTCGGTTTTTTGCAGTTTTTTCGGAAAATATGAGGAAAATTAAAAAATGTTTTAAAAGGTTTTCGAGGAAAAACTAAAAGAAGTATTTTAAATTGGGTGTGAACATTTTAAAATACTGCAATACCCCGCCATAAAAATGGCGTCAGATAGTTTTCGATTAGCCGATAACAGCATTTTACCTTCTAATCTAGCGATGGACCTATTTTGACTTTTTATACGATGTATCGTGTTCATGTTCCTCGAAAAAAGGAAATGGATCGGATGACCTGAATGAAAGCTGGATAAGCTTTTAAAGAAAGTAGTAAGCTACGGGCGGGGAAAGCGCCGCAGACAACAATTTTTTTAAACAAAAATCGCCGCGATTTTTTTTTTGCCTGCGATTTAATAAATGATTTATATGTATTTTTTGTTAGTAAATTTTATTTCCGTTGTATAATTTGTATTTTATTTTGATTTCTAAATGTTATATTTAACTACGAGAACAGAAATGCTCTTCCTAAAAAATGTAATGCCATTCTCGTGCTTAGGTAGTATCATCGCTAATACATCGAGAGACATCGATATAAATTTTGACACACCGATATAACATGAAGCTTTCGTGCGATATATCGGGCAAAATGACGCAAGTGTGCTCCAACGGTTTTTTATTTTCAAACATTGTGAAAAAATATTCTCATTTAGCGCTTTTAACGAAAACTATTAGTTTTACAGAAAAAATGTATAAAACATAAAATACTCATTTATTTAATAACTTTCATTTCTCCTAGCTAGCTTTTTGATTAAGTTATTATATTCGAAGATATTTAAGAAAAACAGTTTTTACCGTTATTTTCCATGATCCCGTTATTTGCGCCAACTTTGACTATTTTTCCAATAATCAGGACCCAAAAACACGTCGATATGGAAAGTTTGAACAAAATTGGGGGTAGGAGCCAAACATTTTCGAATTTCGGTATCAAAATTAAAATACTATATCATATAGCTGCCATAGGAACGATCGGAAAATTAATGAGAAATAAAAGAAAATTTAACATTTTTGCGATTTTTTAATTAATAGGAATGATCTGCAAGGGTATATAAGCTTCCGCTGGCCGAAGCTAGCTTCCTTTTTTGTTTGAATTTCCTTTAATTAAACACGTGGGTGGGTGTATATATTTATGTACATGCACTTGTAGTTTCAAATTGCAACTGTAATAATAACTGAAATAAGTATGCAAATTACAAATTATAAATAAAAAAACCCCATAACTTATTATTTTGAGACAAAAATCTTGGTCGCCGCACGCCTCCCAGTTTGCCGTCAAGCACTCTACTAGCTGCGTCACGGAAGCATCACGTGAGGCGCTGTACAAAGTCTATTGACATTGAGTCAAAATCTGCCAAGTGGGCCACCCCTGTTCCGAAGGTCCGATTTTCATCGAACTTTTTTACTTTTCCGGTTCACAACGAAAATATAAGAACTTCATTTGAACGGTTTTGCGAAATTTTGAGTTTTACCGGAGTTATAGGGGTCAAAACATGGCATTTTTGACACTTTTTCGAAAAAGTTGCACTCAGTCAAAAATTCATAACTTCGGAACGGTAAGAGATATCTTTATGATGTTTTCACTAATCGCTCAAGAATTATTATGGCTTTCCATAAAAAAATTTAAAAAAAAATAAAAATTTTTTTTTTTCTTAAAAATAAATCAACATTTTTTTTAGTTTTTATTTTTTTCAGTGTTCTTCACCAGCTATAGAGTTTAAAACCATTTGAAAATAAAGTTTGATTCATTACGAAAAAGATCAAAAAAAAAAAAAAGAGGGGCCCGGACAAAGGTTTTTCGCAATATCGATTTGAAGAAGGGCGCACAGCGGATTCCCATACAAAACGACAAAAAGTGCGTCATTGACAGCTGCAGTCGGCTGACGCTACGCGCGCAACGGCATGTGTTGACCAGCCAATTTTCACGAGCAAGCCGTTTTTGTATGGAAAACCGCTGTGCGCCCTTCTTCAAATCGATATTGCGAAAAACCTTTGTCCGGGCCCCTCTTTTTTTTTTTTTGATCTTTTCGTAATGAATCAAACTTTATTTTCAAATGGTTTTAAACTCTATAGCTGGTGAAGAACACTGAAAAAAATAAAAACTAAAAAAAATGTTGATTTATTTTTAAGAAAAAAAATTTTTAATTTTTTTTAAATTTTTTTATGGAAAGCCATAATAATTCTTGAGCGATTAGTGAAAACATCATAAAGATATCTCTTACCGTTCCGAAGTTATGAATTTTTGACTGAGTGCAACTTTTTCGAAAAAGTGTAAAAAATGCCATGTTTTGACCCCTATAACTCCGGTAAAACTCAAAATTTCGCAAAACCGTTCAAATGAAGTTCTTATATTTTCGTTGTGAACCGGAAAAGTAAAAAAGTTCGATGAAAATCGGACCTTCGGAACAGGGGTGGCCCACTTGGCAGATTTTGACTCATTTTGTTTTCCTATTTTTAGTCAAATTGAAATGGCTCTCTTCTAGTTATTCTCTTTAGTTGTTCATTTAATTTTGCTCGTAAATATTTATTGATTAATATTAATATTT